AAAAAAAAAAAAAGAATGAAATGCAATAGCACGTGTATGCATATTGTCTTCCCTGCACCTGGAATGGAGGGAGAATGATCTAAAAGCGCAAGCTCCCTCACCCTCCCTCTCTCCTCTGTTTTCTCTTTAGCATTCTAGCTTTGTGTAAATTGCGATACCTCTTCATTCCAAAAGTTTTGAGATCTATAACAACAACAACAAACACTTTATAAGGAGCTCACCATGTGTCAGGCAGTATTTTGTTTGTTTCACAAATGTTGACTCAGCTGCTGAAGTTTTTTAGAGCCTTGCCTTGACCCTGTGACCCTTTGATGGTTTGAATCAACTCTCAAAGCACTGCAATGATAAACTATTTTTTAATATTATCTTGGGTTCCAGGGATGACACGCAAGGCTAGAGAATTCCCAGGAGTAACGCTTTTTCAGTCCCAAATGGAGGCTCAGTATATACTTTAGGGCACCAAAAAAGTTGCAATCACCGAAAGAAACAAACATTTTTTTGAAAAAGTTGGTATTGTTATTTAAAAAAAAACAAATAAAGAAAGCCATCGAAGTGGGTGGTAGTCGTGAGGGAAACTTTGGAGGTTATGGGTCAGGCTTTGTGTTTATTTTGAATTATGTGAGGGAGGGTAAGAGGGAGAAAGAAGAGCCCAAAAGCTTTCAGTACTTAGAACTTCAGCTGTTAACTGCCATTTATCCTTGACTGGAGTTTCTCAAATGGCATTGAAGATAAAGAGCTGAGAGTGAACCCCAGGCAAGGCCTTCAGCCCAGAATCTAGAAGATTCCTTCAGAATACAAAAAAAGATGCATTTCTCATGTGGTTCCAGCAGCCTCAGCTAAAGCTGCTGTTAATAGGCATAGCTTGAGCTCCTTTCTTGCAAAACCAAGATGTTTGTGGTTTCTTAAGTCTTATTTCTCCTCTTCTTCCTCCTTTTAGCCACTTCATTGGTATTTGTTGTCTACCCAACAACCCGTCACCCCACTTCTTCCCTGCTAACAAAACATCAAACAGTGGAAATCCATTCATCTCAGGGAGGGAGGCATCTATTCTAGTCACAGGCAAGTAATCATGTTTGGTCTAAACCATCATGTTGTACCATTCCCCTCTGATAGTGTTGGGTTAGAGGTGGACATTGTGAGCCTGTCCTGGCCGAAGAGATGCAGGGGGAAGTTGGCTGGAGAGGTCCCATCTCAGATAAAATGACAGAACCTCAGAGCGATAAAGCCTTCATGTACCACCCCCAGCTTCACTCCACCTCGGAGAGCTGATGTGAAACCAAAATACCTAAAGCTGCAGCAGCCACCTTGAGGAAACCATGAATGAGAAGCCGTTAGCTGAGAATGTCCTTCTTTGGCTAGGGGCCCTTGATGACATCATGGAGCCTCAGAAGAAACCCTGGAGTCACCTCCAGACTTCTTATTAAGTAAAATTAAATGTCCTTTGTGTTTAGCTACCATAAAGTGGTTTTGCTAATTTTTGCAAAAAAACAAAAAAAAATTCTAAATTGATTTACTTGTCTTTGCTATAGAACTCCTTGTGTTGCTATTTGTAAAATATGGAAGATCAGGAACATTAGTATGATGAGGTTTTAAGTTTATTTTTCATTTTATTTTCTCCATTTTGCTCATTACAAGGATTAGAGAAAGCTATGATGGCTTTATAAAAGTCTTCAGAACTAATTTAATTTACTTTATCATCACAAGGTCTAGTTGTTAATACTTGTTCAAAATATTATTTTCCAAAATATAGCCAAAGCTATAGCAACAGGAATTTGCTAAAAACAGAAGCATCTCCCTTTTGTGGGGTGCAAAGTCTGGCATCTCAGCTTCTCTCTGGACACATGCCCAGCTGTGCTCTCTGCAGGCCATCTTCCTCTCTGCACGTGCTGTGGCTCCCCCTCCTCTCAAACTCCAACTTGCACGTGACACTGAATTACGTCAATTCCAGTTCTACTTCTACAATCCTTTCTGGCTCCAGAGTGCAGCAACAACTAATTAGAGTGATCTGTGCCCCTCCCCTCGATTTGTTAAGAAAAATTTTGTGGACAACCCAATTCATTGACTCCCCATGGGTCAGGGGGCCACTCCTAGTCAAATCCGTTGTTCCTATGCCCAAGGATGGTGTGACCAACATGCATGCCTAAGCCTGTCCCGTCAGCAGAGCACCAGGGAAGGGACCTCTCTGCAGGACAGATAATGAAACAAGGCCTGCAAGAGGTATCATTTAGTTGGCGTCGTATTAACAAAAAAGTCACACATTCTCATGTATTTATAGGATATCAATCGACAAACCTACAATTACATTTTGTGTCCTGATCAAAGGGAAAAAGTACTGAGGGTGTGGTAGACAAAATAATAGCCTCCAAAAGGTGTCTGTGTTTTAAAGCCCAGAATTTGTAAATATGTTACATCACATGGCGAAGGAAAATAAAGGTTCTAATCAGCTATTTTACAAGAAAGAGATTCTCTTGGGTTATCTGAATGGGCCAGTGTAATCACAAGGGTCATTAAATGTGGAACAGAGAGGTAGAAGAGCCCGAGTAATGCAGTGTGAGATTGCTGGCTGTTGCTGGCCTTGAAGATGGAAGGGGGACCTGAGCCGCAGGAGGCAGATGACCTCTAGGATATGGAAAGGGCAAGAAATGCTCCTACCAGAGCCTCCAAAAAGGAATACAGCCCTGCCAGTATCTTAATTTTAGCCCAGTGAGACCCTTTTGGATTTCTGAATCCCAGAACTGTAAGATATTAAGCTTGGGCTGTTTTAAGCCACTAAATTTGTGATAATTTGGTACAGTGCAAAAACAATAACTTTTATGTGCTAACTCATATATTCTCTTTTAAGCCAGACAACAAAACTGAATTAGCATTATCATCCCTCTGTTTCTAATAAGGAACTTTAGGCTAAGAGATTACACAGGTACTTAGTGGCAGAACTGTTTGATTCCCACATCCATGTTCTTTCAAGCAAACCACAGCTGCCTCTCTGGAAGATAGTCGCTGGAGCAGTGGTTCCAAAACTGAGCTGTAAAATGGCATCACCTGGCATCTTTAAAAATCCTGACACCTGGTTCCCATGCCCAGACATTTCCATTTAATTGGTATCAGGTGTAATCTGGCCATCAGTTTTAAAATCTCCCCAGGTGATTCGAGAGGGCAGCAAACTTTGGCAACCACCATTTTGGAGGAAGGTCTGTAGAACAGGTCCTCAAATGACTTCGTTTCATTCAATGTCATTTCATTATAACGTTGCTGAGATACCATAGGAACTTTTTCTTTTTTTTTTTTGAAAACAGTGGCTGTTTATTTTATTAACTGACCAGATTACAAAAATACCCATGGTAGATACCTTAGTTCATCCTCCTAATAAGCCTGTTGATCTGGTCTTCCCTGTTGCCAGCGTCTCCCCCCTCCACAAAGTGGGTGGTCTTCTTCTTCATTCCACCTCGTGGAGAAGACAATTTGAAGGGCCACAGGAAGTTGTTTGCTTCTTTGAAACGTTTTCCAACAGTATAGATCTCATGAATCAAATCCTCCATGCAGATGATGCCGTATTTACCAAGAGATCGCGCAATTAATGTGTTATCTGTCAGGGCAATTCGCTTTTTGTTGATTTTGCCATAACCACGCTTGTAGATCAATTCATTTACTGACTTCAGGTTTGGATACCCCCATGCGATGTATGGCTCCACAATCCTCAGCATGTTAATGGAAGCCTTGTTGAGTTTGACAAAGGCGCCGTTGAAGATCTGGCGAAGGCGGAGAAGCTGCAGCACCTTTCGGACCTTTGGGCTCACACCATTGATGCCTCGGATCCTGATGACAAATGCCAACTTGGGTTCCGCAGGTACATAGAAGTTGCCAGCTTTTCTCGCCATCCTAGCCATTCGAATCTCGGTCCTGTACATCTGCCTATATTCTTTGTGATAGTGCTTCGCTTTTTCATAGATAAGCTTTCTTCTTGCCTTTCGAAGCATCTTTTGGGCAAACTTCTTTCTCAGGCGTTTGATCTTCAGCTCTGCGAAATTCCTTCGCTTTTTCTTAAGGGTTTCTGGCACAGCAGGAACCTTCTTCTTCTCTTCTGCGCCCTCCATGGTTCCGGCCGGAAAAGAGATACCATAGGAACTTAACTCTTATTTATATCAACTGGCCTGAGGTAAAATTGGTTTCATTACACGTCCTTTCGCTGCAATTCCAAGACCTGTTGACATTAAGTGAGGCTGACCGTAGTGTCTTGATGTTAAATGGTGACATTACAATTTCTTTTCCTTTTTGAAGAGACTTTTTTTCAGTGGTTCCCCCTGGGGCTGCCCAAGAAACTCACCTGGAAAGCTTTTAGAATATATTTCTGCTTGGCCTTACCCTCATAGATTCTAACCCAAATGGCCTGGAGTAGGACCAGTTTAAAGCTCCCTAGATGGTTTCAATGTATGATCAGGGTTGAAACCCCTTGTATCAGGAGAATAGAATGGGGTGCCTGCTGGCTGGAAGCCTCTCCCTATTATGACTCATTCTGAAAAATCTGGGTGTTAGTGGAAAGGAAAGGAGGTTTTTCTAACAAAGCTGATGCCTCCACTACCCAGTGGGATGTTTTAGGGTACATGTTTCCAGCTGTCCCTGGCAGGAAATGTTTACACATATTTGCGGAACTTCTCTATCAGCATTGAGCAAGAACTTGCTGTTTTTGAAGGACAGCCAAAGAAACACATGTAACCGAGGATTTATTTAAAAAAATACAAAAGAAGTCTGTTGAAGGTATTCTAGAAACGGCGCTACAAAGATGTCATGAGTTGCTCTCAAGCATGCAGGATGGATAAAGCTGTTGTTGTTTCTGTGGACTACACCATTCAGTGAAAGATTGCTGCAGACAAGGATAAGCACAGGGTGCTAAGTTTTCTCCTCACTGGTTTCTAATTGCAAAGGAGAAAAAAATAACATTTCGATGGAAAGTTCTAACAGTGAACACCTTAATCTAGAGGTCACATTTAGTATCAGTCATAGTAGGGCATCTTGATATTATGTGACTCCTGATGAGATGCAATGTGAAGTACACAGGGTCATCTCTGCAGTATTCATGCCAAAGATGTACAACCTGATTCTTGTCAAACCTTTGGTTTTACCTTCCAGCTGTCAGGGAATACCTGGGCAAAAAGAACAAAGTAAATGGCACCATGAAAAAACAAACAGGTGAAACCAGACTGTGGAATATTCTACAAGACAGCTGGCCTGTTCTCTTCAAAAGGGCAATGTTTAAAGAAGAAAAAAAAAGTGCACAATTCTTTTAGCATAAAAGAGAATAAAGAGATGTAACAACTAAATGCAATGCCTTAATTATATCCTGGTTTGGAGGAAGTGGAGAAAAAAATACCTACAAAAGATATGTAGGGATATTTAGGGGAAATTTGAGTATAGACTAGATGTTAAATGATATAATAGTTCTTATCTCACGTGTGATAATGGCATGGTGTTAGGCTGGAGAATGTCCTAATTTTTAGCTCAGTTATTTAGGGATGAAGTGTCTCAGTGCCTGAAGCTTATTTTCAAATGGTTCAGCAAAATAGAAACACACACACACAAACAAAGCAAAACATTGTCAAAATGTTCACGGTTGTTGAATAAAAGGTGGTGAGTACACATTGTACTCTTCTTTCAATTTTTTGAGTGTTTTAAATGATTTCCATAACATTTGGGAAATATCTCTATTCCTAATTTATCCATGCTAGAATATGCCTTTTTGAGATTTGGTCTCTGGGATTGTTAGAGGTAGAAGTCATTCCTGCAACTTTTTCCCCAGAGTCTCTTCTGTTAGACTACCAAGCATAGAACACATCAATGGGTCATATCTTTCTCAATCTTGACCTTATGTTTCTGGAGTTAAATAGCCTTTCTCAGGCTCATCTTCTCTGGCTCACCTTCCAGACAACAGCTAGAGTTACCAGATTCCCTAATGTAAATACCATGATGCTTTGCCTCTGTTAGAGGTATACTTAAAAGAAACAATAATAATAAGGTGTGAGCATAATGTGATATGATTGAATATTTCTTTTTGAAAACAACACACTGTAATTTATGTATTCAAGTGTCCTCTTCAAAAGCATACCTTGCACAAAACAGGTTTGGAAGCTTGCCTTTTAGGATCACCTTCAGAGTCCGTTTTACCTTCTCCTCATTAGTCACATACCTTTTGTCCCTTAGGGTGGGTTTGATATATGAACAACTAAATATCACTGAAGGTCACAAGTTGTAAATAAAGTGATTAAGCAAGTGCAGGAATGGCCTTCTGCCCAAACTCAATGTGTGATTATGCACAGGGATACTTATTTTCTGAAATAAAGTGGCTCTGATAATACTTTTTAAATGCAGTTCAAAAATGTTTTAGGTAATGTTAGCACTATTTGAAAAACATTACAAGCTAAGCTTCTTGGGTGGTCCATTGCTCTCTTGAGTGTGTAAGTTTGAATCCTGGACTCTGAAATCACTGGCCAAGAGGCCTTTCTGTAACTCAGTTTTCCTACCTGTAAAACAGAAGTAGCAATGCCTACCTCAAACAGTTGTAAGTTCTGAATGAGTTGATATATGCAAAGCACTTTAAACAGTGCCTGGCATCTAGTGAATTTCAATCAATGTCCGCTACAAGTATTGTTACTACTATTTATCAAACATTCAGTCATATCACTTTCCAGTTACTTTTATGTATAGAACCTTGAGTAAGGTAGCTCTTTCCATTGTAAATGAGAGAAACCCAACTCAAAATAGCTTCAGTAAAAATAATAATAATACTGTTAATAAGGAAATACCACAATCATCTAGCTGGAAAATTCAAGTGCTATGGTAGCTTCAGGCATGGCTAAATCCAGGCTTAAAGCAATGATGTTCAGGCTCTTTTACTCTTCTCCATCTCCTTGCTCTGCTTTTTTTTCAGTGATGGGCTATGGCAGTTTCTCTCAATGGGCAACTTGCCCACTGGTAGCTCAACAGCACCCTAAGCCTTAGCCTTAGCACTGTTGCTCACAATCCAGAGAAAGAGACCCTTTCTTCTCCAGCAGGGAAATATCATCATTCAAAGGTGACTCCAAGTGGCCATAGCTAGTCCTAGCTCACCTTTGTGCACATTGCTATGTTCTGAGAGAGAGCACCAAGGCTGGCCAGCATGGGTGCCAAGGTCACTCCCAGGACAGGAGCTTGCGAGTTCCTCCAGGCCCCCAGGGAATGGGGACAAGGCAAGTCTGCTCTTCAGAAGTGAATAAACTGTTTCATTCCGTATCCAGTTGTTTACTGCCTGATAGTTGTTTGGGTTTTTGTTTTGTTTTGTTTGTTTTGTTTCATCACAAGCTCTATATTAGGAACTACAGTAGAGGCTGTACATAAAAGTAAAATGTAATAACAGCTAACATTGACTGAGTGATTGATACGTGCCACGCTCTAGGTTAGGTATTCCAGGTGCTTGATCTTATATAATCTTCCTAATAACCCCATGAAGTAAGCACAGTTATGATTCCCAGCTGAGAAAACTGAGGCTCAGAGGATTTAGTAACCTGCCCAGAGCCATACCTCTTCGTAAAACAGAGTTAGGATTTGGACCCAATGCAGCCTGACCATCAATACCTTCCTTTATATGTCCTGTCAATTTGATACTCATAAAAGTCCTGAAATAATGCCTTGTTAAAACTGCTTTATCACAGATGAGGAAATAAGGTTCAAGGAAGTTAAGTCCATTTCTCAAGGTCATGCCTAGGACCTGTGCTAGGCAATTGGGAGCCAGAAATGAAGATATGGCCCCTGACAGGACCGCTGCGTGTGGCTGCACAGCTTGAGCTCTGCACAAAGGTGCCTTGCCCATTGTGGGGCAGAGGAGGATGAGGGGTGAAATTCAGCCTAGGTTCTGCTCACAGATCATGGCCCTGACCCTGGCTGCATCCTCACAAAGCCTTTTTCTACTGGCCAAGCCATATCTACGAGGCTACAGCAAATCAAAGGGGGAAGCAGTTAGGTTAACTAGATAGGTTAGGTTAACTTACCCCAAACCTCAAAGGCAGCCTGAAAAACAGACAATTACAATGGAACATAGTAATACCGAGGAAGATGCTGTCACAGAGAGCTATATGACACACACGAGGGGCCAGGTGGCTGCTCACTCTGCCACGTTCAGACTTGAATAGGTCCAGTAGCCCACCTACTGGTCTGAGGATGCACAGGGCTGGTCTGAAGATGCACAGGGCTGCCAAACAAAGGGGTCCTAGCTGAATGGGAGCATTGGGCCCATTCAGAACCTGATCTCTGGATTCACTCTCAGATGAGCAGACCCAGCGACCACCCCAGCAGTCTCAGCTTGACAAAAGCATCATCTCTGTTCTAAGATGATTGTCACTACTCATTAATCTGGACATAGCAAAACAGACTTGGCTAAAGCCACTTGGGCTAGCCATTGATAGCTGCCCACCCAGTAATTACCCTTCTTTTCCTAGCTATGAGAGCCTCAATATTCTGGGTACTGTAATGTTGGTTACTCACACATTACACAGGTCTCTCCCCAGCCCCAGGGGGTAAATAATGATTAATCTAAATTGACTATTACAGTTTGGGTTCCTTCCAGAGTAAGGAACAAAGATTTTGGGAGGCGATCCCAGAAATTGCTTAGGAACGCAGTTTAAGAGATTAACGAATATGTATGTAGAGCACCAAGCCCTAAGCTCTGACCATAATAGGCACTGATACATGATGGTTATTATTACTTGATATAACTCCCTCCTGGCTGAACATAGAGGTCTGGAAAGCCAGGTAGGATCTGAGTGACTTGTGTGCTGGAACTGATAGTTTTCTGATGTCCAATCATTCAATGGTGCACTCATTTTCAACATGTGCTAGATATGCTGTGCTTAGGGCCAATCAGCATGTTGAAACCCATAGCAACAATGTTTGATCTCCTGGCAGGGATCAATCAGTGCACTAAGGAAGGAAAAAGGTAATGGCAGAACTGGACTTCTCTCTAACAGGTGGGACAGTTGGGTCTTTGGGGGTGAGGGGCAAAGCATGAAGATTCTTCTGCTCTGTGTGAATAGGATCAGTGTGCTTAATGGAAAATTTAAAGCATAACTAGATCTCTG